GGCTGACGCGCAAATAAAATCCAGGTTGCTTGACTAGTTAGCTAAAGATTTCTGATGACTTTCCATTAGTTTCTAAAATTGTCTTCATCCTCTTGCGCTAATGGGAATTTAACCTAAAGGGTAAAGGGTGCGCTTTTCTTTAGCACGTTGTTTAGTGCCTGAAATGTATTGTGATGATCGATTTAATGAAACCTGTGAGAGGGCCCTCATTCCATGAAGGCCCCAGGATCCGTTTTCACCTTATGGGAGGTGTGTTCTGACAGATAGTGAAGGGATGTGAAATGAAGACATTTCCATTGTTCCTGTCCATACAGTTAAGGATATGAATGAGTCAGCTGATGGTTACATTTCTATCTGTTTAGCTAGTGGTTCTCGCTCTTTTTTTCTTCTTAATCTTTGGAACTTTGTACTTGATGAAATGTACAAAGAAGTATAAATAAATATGCACATAAAAATAAAAGAGACCCCCCCCTGGCAATTCCCAAGGGACAATGGTGTGAAAACCACTTAGACTACCTTATCAGTGTGCTGAGTGACAGTGGGAAAGAAATTGGAGAAAATGATGGCTGGGGAATGACATACAATAAATATATAGAATTTAGTAATTAGGCTGATTAGGGAACTTATTTCTATGCGTGTAGGTAGGGATGTTTTAATTTTCCAAACTGTGGGTCCAGTACTGGGTCTAGGAGCCCTCCCTAAATTGCAGTGTTTTGGATAATGCTTTTGCATGCAGGTTGGATGCATCTCCTGTCATCAGTGGATGGGTACACACAGGTTCTCTCACAGGTTTCCTTCTCTTCCCCGTCCAGGTCTCCAGTAAGAAATCGTGCTGTTGACCCTGGTTTTATGGAATTTCTGCCTATAGTGACAGTCTTGGGGTAGCTACAAGGCTGATTGATACTCTTGATTAAAAAGCAGCTCACGCAAATCAGTTGTGTATCTCTTCAAATGGTCCACTGGTAGTTATCTAAATACTTATGAGCATTTGAGGTCTGGTTTGAAGCTGATGAAAAGACCTCTGGTGAAGAGTATTACCCATCTTGCCCTTTTCCTATCCTCCACCAAAAGGTTTGGCCCAAACCAGAGAACTATTCTAAAGATAGCATAAATTCAACAGTCACTAGTGTTACTTTCTAATACAAGTTCAGCCTGGACCGGGGAACATGGCTATGAGGACCAAACAGAGACATTAGAGATGCCGGAATAAATAAGGGTAAGTAAAAAAAAGTATTGCTACCATACTTCCAGTTCATATATGCATAAATTTATCCCAAACCTCATGTGTTCAACTATGTCTCTGTGACAAGTGGATCGATGCAGACAAGTTGTCTTATTAATGCACTTGTCTCTGCTTTGTAACAATGAAAAAAATGAAAATCAAAACAGGAGCTTCTGGGTGGATCTGTTGGACCAGTGACACTGAAGGATGACTGAAGACCAGGCAAACTGGGGGATTCTATCAAGGACTTTATAACCTGAAGAAAGTCAAAAGGTCATTAAAAAGAAGAAAGAAAGTGGTGGCTCAGAAGGTTGTGTTCGTGGGGATTCTTTGGGTTCCCAAAGGGATCATCTTGATGGCTTTTCTTGAAGGGCACCTGATGATCCGGGGCACATGAACACTACATTGGTGAGAAAAAGACCAGGAAAGTTGCACCAAAGAGTGTTTTTTTATTTCGACCAAACACCTGCTCATGCCTCAAGGGTAGACAGGGCTATCCTCTGAGAATTTCACTGGGGAATATCCAAAGCCCTGATCTGGCCACTTCAGGCTCCTATTTGCTCCTCAAACCCTAAGAAACTTGACAAGGAATCTGACTTATGTACCGTAAGGATGCCCAGACGGCCGTTTGGATGTGGAGTCAGCGGAGAAGAAGATACTTCTTTGGAGACAGGATTCGAGAATGAGAAACATAAGATCTGCAGGTGTGTATACAGTTAGTTGTATGGAGGATCTATCAAGAAACAAGAGCTTCACATTTTAATATATTTTTTGTTTAATAAAGAGTTCTATAATTTTGTAGCAATACTTTTTTACTTACTAACATATAATATTTATTATTTTAATCAAAGTCATGGAAACAGTAGCTGTTAATGGTATTGAAAAAGGTAAATATCAAGACAGGGCAAATGAATATCACAAGAAATTATCAAGCCCACGTGTTGGTGCGTTCTGGAATTGTGTTCACGTCTAATAGTAAATGTGGCCGCTCCCACAGGAGTTAGCAGGAGGGATGAAACGCCCTCTACTTTGCAAGGCCTTGAGCTTTAAGCTTGAACCTTAAAAGAAGTTGATTTCTATCACTACTCTTTCATACCTAAGACTTGAAGTCTTTAGAATGATCTTGAGTTGAAAACATTGACAGCATTGACTTTTAAACAAAAATGTAGTGTTTTAGTATCATACAGGAATGTAAGTCTTTATATACAATTGTAGAATGGGTATAGAAATTTCTGAGAAAAAAATAGTCACTGATTGTTTTTACATTTAGCACAATGACAACAAATGAAAAGGCATGAGATGAATTACATTTAAAGCACTCTTGTTAACAAGTGACATTTCTTTTTCTGAGCTTTGTTAAACTTTAGAATCCTGTTTATCATACTTGTGTTTTGTTTTTGAAAGTTAACTAAAGTTCAGCGCAGCAACATCAACTTGTTGGCTATGAAGAAAATTACTTTTAAAGTTATACAAGGGGGCTTCAAAATCTGTAGAAAAATCTTACTATCTTTAAATTCCATTTTCCATGAACTTTTTGAAGCTTCCGCACCTCTGAGAATCAAGGGTTTATTAGTTCCATCTCCAGGAAATATAGTTAGGTGGTATGGAAAACATTGTACTTTGTTCCACAATAATGCTTGTAGAACAAGGTGCATTATTATTATTTTCAAACTATCTTCTAGAAACTAAAATTTATATGTAACCTTTTATAAAATGATATTCGAAATAAAGGGAAATGATCACACTGCAGCTCTATATTATACATCTGCTGTAAATAACTGAAACCAGTTAGCCTGATTGACTAACACAAGTATAATAAAACAGTTTTATTTTTCTTTACATGTACAATACATACACATGGCTTATCTTCTACATTTCATGATAAAATGTCACCTGTATGAGAGCTAGATATATTGCACTTATTTATGTAGCAAGAACAGGTAACATTCCATCGAATCTAGCAGCAGGCATCTGTTCCACCATGAAATAATTTTCTTTGGAACAAAGTAGCCCAAACAGGGGTTTGTACACATTCACCCACTTCAATCAATAGCCATTCTAAAATTTAAGTAGGTGTATTTTCTCAGTTAGGCGTGGTTTAGGCCAAGACTTTTGGGGATTGTGAGATTAATGATGAATAGAGAAAATCTTAAATTCATCCGAATCTGTGAACACTCTCTTTCCAGTCAGGTTTAGAGAATCTGGGATCTAAGATAAATAATTGTTGTCTAATTTTTATAATCTGTTTTTATATGATTTGTACAAGTTCGAGGAAATTTGATAAAACACACCAGCAGCCAGTAGATATACATATGTGACTATGTCGGCGTGCATGTATGCATTTTACATTTCCTTTAAGAAGGGAATATACGCGCACTTTGCTTTTCTGTGGTTATTTCTAAATAGCAGTTCATCTTAAATAATATGTCATTTTTAAAGTCTAAAATGCCAATACTTGCAAATATATTTGTTTTTAACATAGTACAGTGAATATAGGAAGAAGCATTGTTACTGTATACTACTCAGGATTTTACTTTTTTCTGTAGGTAGAAAAATGCTTTGAACACTCGGGAAATACGATTCATTTATAGGAGAATATTTCCAGGAATTTTTTGTTGTTGTTTTTTGTTTTGTTCGTTTTTTGGGGTTTTTTTGTTGCATTTTTTCAAGGATATACATTCGTACTGATTTTTGCTTCCAAATATATTTTAAGGCTGTTTGGTAAATATACACCAGATATGAGGCTCATTTTACAGGGTTTTGCTCTTACAGGGAATTCTTAACTACTCAGCTTTTAAAAAAGTAAAACTTTGAAGCTAAACATGCTTGAATATCAACTGTGCTCCCAATGAACCCCATGCTTAGTGGAATGTAGAACAGGAGAAAAAGGAAAAACTGCATTCTTAACTAATGCCCCCACTGTGCAACGACCTCTCTGAAGGTTAGGGAGAATGCAGCAGGCTGCAGCGTGAGCTGGGTGCATTTTAAAGTGCAAATCAAGGCGAGGAAACAAAGTGCGACAGGATCACTGAGGAGCCCTTCTGCCGGCCTTCCTTACAGCAGGGACCTGGAAGACATGGGAGTTTGGCGGAAACACTAGTCTTAATTGCAATCCTGCTTTTCCCGTCCAGAAAAGTGAGGCCTATGGAAGTGGGGTCCAATCAATCGGCTCTTCTTTTGAAGATGTATCTGGGTAGCAGTTCTAACTTTTCAGGAAGGGTGTTGAGATCTTGATTACTGCACTGAAATTTAATTACAAAAAGCTAAGTAAAGCCTTTCAGTTAAAGTAGTTCCTATTTTTCTCTGGTGCCAATCAGAGCTGCGAAAACGAATTACTTTTATTAAATTCTGCAGCTGGAAATCACAATACGTGACCTCTTTTTCTTCATGTCTGAAACAAGCCAGAAATATTTTCTTGGCTTTAGCAATACTGCATAGGACAAAAGAATACTCAAAAAATACAAATGTAAACTACATTTCATCTTACCATTTAAACTGAAATATACTTACCACTCACATTCATATTTCTTAAACTTTTTTTTACAACATCACAACTGTCATTTTAAACAAGCAAACATTTTTTTTTAAGGATACCCTGGAAAGTCAACTGATAGAGCAGTTTGAGAATATATATATATATATATATATGTATATATATATATATATATATATTCACATGTAGCATAGATGAACTTAAAGGAAAAAACTATGTAATTTTTTAAGCTATAAAGGAATAAAAAGTGCAATGACTATTTCATAGGATATTCTTTTTCTCCCTTTATACTCCTGCTACAGAAGAGCAAGCCTTTTTTAAGACACCAGTCTCTTTCCACCCATCACTCCCTTGTATGAGATTCAACTGATGTTTTGAATGTGTTGATTCTGTGCTAGACATTTTTAATCCGTTCAGGCTAATCATCTCCTGGGACTGGGGTGAGCCAGGCCATAGGGTGTTGTGGTGACTGGCGAGATCACTCTTGATCATCACGTACTTGACTTAACAAGCCTAAGGTGTTCCCCTGGTGACAAAGAGAACTAGAAGGTGGATCCGACAAGTAGGTGGATGAAGCTACAGGACTTGAGGAAAAGTCGCCGGAGGGTAAAGGGGGAAATGGGTTCTCGCTTTCCTGCACTTCTAGTTGTAGCACCTTCCACTTGGGTTATCTAATGCCTCTAGTGAGTGGTGAGATGCACCCAGTTATAGTTATTTGTTATTCGTGTCTCTAATTTTCACACAATTTATAAAAATATAAATAACAAAATGTAAATTGGGTTCCATCTCAAGAGGTGTTTCTTGTTGTCCTCTGAGAACAAGGTGGATAAGTTAGGTCTTTCCAAGCCTATCCAACATAGCTGATTGTAAGTCAGACCATCAATTAGAAAGAAAGAAAGGAAAGAAAAAGATAGAGAAGTCATTCTTGCAAGGAGCTCAGCACACTGAGGCAACCAAAAGCATTCCACTGTGTCTATGGTACACGGAACGCAACAGCACAGGCCTCGCCAGTGGAGAAAGTGAGACAAAAATTACCGGGGAAGTGACAAACTGTACAAGGATCTTGTTAAAAAGGAAGAAAAAATGGTAAAAGTTGCAGCATTCTGTCCTTAAAGTCTGGTCTGGGCCTCCGGGATGTAGATCTCTATGCTGTCAGCCCGCTCGGTGGCGGAATTCTGTCGGAAGGATGCTGCCCTCTTAGCAGCCATGAGGCGTCTTCGAGCTTCTTGACGTTGTCTGTCGGGCAGGTCGAGGGACTTTTCTCTTGTAATAGGAAATTTCCCTTTGGGGGGCTTCTTTGGTATTGGAGGGGGGACCTTTCTCTCTTCCTGAAAAGTAGCAAACATCAAAATAGATAAATTGCAGTGATGGTGTTTGCATACCTTGTGAATACAATTAATGTCCCTCTCACACCTACAGTCCAAATTGATGGATAAAAACAAGAGAATTACAACAGTTAACTTCTATTTTGTTGCTAGTCTAATAGTTAACCCTTAGTCCTACTCATCTCTGACCACTGGGGAGTACCCAGGATGTGAAGGTCATCGGGAAGACCTGTCATATGCTGTGGTCTTTCCCACAAACTTCAGAATGCCAACTGCATTCATGCACACCATCGTATGTAAGTGTACCGGGTAACGATTCCCCAGGAAAGGCTGAAGGTCTCATGACATTAGCAGCAGATATAATGAGTTTTCACTTTCTTGGTAGATCGATGCAAATAATTATTTTTGACTGCTAGCTAATGCTCTGAAATAAATCACATCAAAAATATGTCCGTGTCTTTTCTAGGAAGATAAGTGTCACAATTGTGTAACAAATGAAGTGTTTAATGCTTTCAAGGTTCTGGTGAAAGGTTTGGGTCTAAAACTGTGATTGTTACTTAATGTCACTCCTAAATAACAAACGGAGTTGGATCTACTGACTGGTTCTACGTCATAATGGAGTTCAGACCGGAGCACTGTAGAGGCAGAAAATAAACACGAGGAAAACCAAACAACTGCAAGAAGCCCCTGCCATGTGGGAGCTGCACGGGACTGTACTACCCCTATCCTTTCCTTTCTTTGTCTACATCCTGGACTCTTAGGGGTGAAGCAGGAAGTGCTGCTATCGACGTGTAAGCTTGTGTAATGTTTGCAAATCCCCAGACAAATAAAGATCTGATTTATACAGTACTGATAATAAAAGGCAGTAATAATGCAAACTAAAATAAAGAATAAAATAGAGGTATTTGATTTATTTCAGAACCAATGTTGTAAATAGCTTAGGTCAAAGTATTTAAACTTCTCAGGGAGTTACTGAAGAATGAAAAAAAGATTACAGGCAGTTCCTGGGTCGTGAATGAGATCCATTTCGAACTGTGTCTTAGCATCTGTAAGTGTAATTTGTAGGCGAGCCAGACATGTGCACTTGGTTTTTATTTAGCCTTATTTTTGTGCAAAAGGCTGTTGCCTTCTCAGTGATTTCAAAGATGCAAGTCTGCATCAGGAGAAAGTGATTTGATGAAGTTGTTGATTTAGTTGCTTCAAAGTGAGGGAAAATTTGCACGATATTAAAGAGCAAATAGGAGTTGTCAATAAAGTGGATGTTTGCCACATGTGTTGTATTAGACATCGTTTGGTAATTTAGCAACTTCTATTTTAGTATCTGTGGTAGGTAGATTTATTGTGGGATTAATAAGGTTGCAGTTTGATGGAAGGCAAAGAGATAAATGGCTCTGCAGGGCCTGCCCCTGTGTCTCTTGCTTTCTGGTGATTGGACCAGCATGCTGCAGCTTTGGCTAGTTCTCGGCCTCAACCTGTGAGGTAGTTAGTTTATTGTGCCAACCTGGCCGAAAAACACATGTGGGGTTAGTTGAAGGGCGGAGGGCTACATGGCTGGAGCCTCGCCTTTCGAGTTCTTGGTTCTCTTGCTTTGTGATGGTTGGACTAGGGTGAAGCTGCCTTAGTCAGCTCCCTGCTTCAACTGGCAAGGCTCACTTCCTGCAAGACATCTCTGAGGAGAAGCCACATGGACCTAACCCGATGCAGCCCTGGGTGCTGGAGCACCCATGTGGAGACCTCTGCCAGTGCTGAGATGTTTACACGTTCACGGATTCGGCTTTCCTACTGCAGTGGGCATCATTGTGTCTCTTTCGTGAGATGGAGGAGGACTTTGTGGATTTGTGTTGGATATATGGGTTAATGGGTTAATGTTGGACTTGTGGACTTGGGCAGCACTGGGTTGCGATGTTTTCTTGATGCGCACTTAACTTTTATATAAAACTCTCATACATGAGTTTCTGTGAATTTGTTTGTCTAAAGTACCCAGATTTATACAACTGGTGTGCTACATTAGCTGTGGGCCCAGCCAACCAGTGGACTGTGTGCTAGAGCTTGAGGCTCCTTTGAGACCTGCTTTGCCACACTGCTGGTGCATACATTGCTTGAGGTTGAGGCTGGTGGATCCTTTCACCTTGCATTGCTTGGGTTCAATATCTCATCCAGGCCTGCTTCACTAAGCTCCCAAGCTACTGACTGTGCTGTCCCACCCTGCTGTTTGCTGCTTGTGGGCAGACTCTGCCTCTCTTGCCTGAAGGAGGACTCCGCTGTCTGTTTCTGTGACCTTGGACTGAGCAGCCCATGTGAGTTGAAGGACTTCTAGTATATTAATTGTTTCATGAAGTGAGTTGAACTGAGTCCTTTGCACTGCTGTGTGGACTAGTTAGCTCTTCTATTCCTTCTCGCTGTATAAATGTATCCGCATATCTATGTCTATATCTATATTATATATACTCGAGAATAAGTCAACCCGAATATCAGCTGAGGCACCTCGTTTTACCACAAAAACTGCAGAAAAAAATGCTGAAAAACTCAGCTTATACATGATATATATGGTGTACATATATGTATACACACACACACATATATATATAAAATTATAAGTGTCCTGGTTTTATTTCTCAAGAGAACCCTGCCTAACACAGTATCCAATTAGGATAACAATATGGAATAAATATTTATTTGACTCTAAAACTCAACAAAAGGTTACCGGGAATTGTTTGTGTATCATCTCTGGCATATGTACAACATATGCATTTCTGTGTTCACCTCACTTCATGATCTGCTGTGACTGTAAAGGGTAGTGTCAGATTTTCAGCCAAGCACCTAGCATGGGGATCCATGTAGGCAGTCAGTAGAACTTTAGGGAAGAGAGTCGATGATGATGGTAACCTATATTGGACTCTCATTCTAATTATCAAAACACACATCTGAAGGTTAAACATCATTTCCCCAAAGTAGGTTGGATTCATTTTCTTTATATATTTTTTAGTGTTTGTCTAGAGAAATAGGATTATAATTGCTCAAAATTCCTCTAAAATGCATTAGGAAATCAATGTACTTATTTCTAATTCAGACCTATATATTCGCTCTGGGAGAAGTTAAATCATAAAGTTAAAATGGAATGGACATTTTAAAATACCCAACTCCAATCACAATTACAGAGTTTATTTGAGTATTATCATTATGTGCAAACTTAAATTTTTTTCTATGAAAAATCCTTTAAATACCATCAAAATAAAGATTTGATTAACATTATTCACAGAAGCTAGATCCTTATAAGAAATTAAATTCTTAAGAAAAAAAAAAGAAATGAAATTCTAGCTACAAACTTTCATGTAATTTTAGGCTGATGTCTCTCTGAATTGTGTACTTATAAGAAATAGAGCAAGAGACAACATGTTATTTATGATTGGGACAGATGGTTTCAATGCCTCTCTAAATTTATATGTCTTTCTATATGGACATACACAAAAGAGAATTTTATCCTGTGCTGTTAACCCGAAGCGGGGAAACGCACTGTCATTTAGCATTTGAAGCACACCATTTCTGCCATTGGATTAGGTGCCAGGATGCCAACGAACAGCAGTTTGTACAGAAATAGCATTGCCTGGGCACAATTACCTTTCTTTCAGGTGACTCTATTATCTTCCAGTCATTGAGCTTCAACTGGTGCAGCTCATCAAACTTCATGCTGACATCCTCGACGGAAAGCTGCAACATATCCCAGTACCCTGCGAGGTCCTGGGAAGTAGGCCTTGGCATGGCACTGGGATCCTGAAACACACATGCAGAATTTAGCAACATGAAGATCTCTCTCATGACAGAGGGTTTGGAAGAGGCTGCCCTTCCCCCAAGTCCACCTCTCAAGGAAGAATACTGGCAACAAGTATTACTAATTCAAATGGTGATCTAAATATTTGGGATAGCCCATGATTCAATAGCAGTTTATCTCACACAAGTATTTTCAGAGGCATAAAAACATAATACCTTTGCCTATTGTTATATTTTAGAAATACATTACTAGAACCTATACATACTCGCTAATATTAACGGTATTAAATGGTTGATAGTTGGAAGAAGTGGGCCTCTCTCTTTCTGGTCACATGTTGGATTATCCAGAAGACAGGTCACCGGGGCAGAAATTTCCACAGTTTGTAAACATTTAAAAATAAAGAGTGGGGAAAATCTCACCACCATAGTGTTGATTCTAGCTCACAGTGACCCAATTTAGGGCTTCTTAGACTGTCAATCATTACAGAAGCAGAGAGCCACATAAACGTTCCTTGGTTTGAACTACTCACCTTGCGGTTAGCAGTGCCACGCATACCCAGAAGCACCACCGTGGCCCAAACAAAGCTGCTGTCATCGACTTGGTTCTGGTTCATTGTGTTCCCAGGCCTGACGGGCTAGAATTGTGTTCACAGGGTTTGCACATGACTGCTCTTTACAGAAGCAGACGTTAGGCCTTTCCTCTGCAGGGCCACCAAGCAGGTCCCAACCATCAGCCATAGGTTTGGCAAGCAAGTGCAAGCCATTTGAGCCATTTGTATTATTTGAGTTTGCAAACCCTGCATTGACTGTGCACATATTTCTGTGTGTTGTTGCTATGCCGACAGCCGGCTTTGACTCATCGTGACTCCGTGGACCTCACAATGGCTATATAGGAACCCATTGTTGTGGCCTCGAGATTTTTCTCCAGGAACTGGAGGTGAAGTATCCTCATTCCCACCTCCAAAAAGCACCCTGCCTGTGCTTCTCTCAAGACAGTTGTTTGTTCTTCTGGCAGTTTCCTCCTCATTCAGTAGGAGGCGCTCTCAGAGGGCTACCTCCTCCCGCTCAGCCCTTTCCGGTGAGCGCGTACTTCACAAGAGTGTGCTTTCAATGCGCAGCTCTTGCTTTTTAAGCAGTAGTTCACATTAAAGATAATATGAATCTGTGCGGTTTAGTTGAAATGCTCTTTAATATGCTTTGTCATTCATATAGAAATCATTACTTTTTTTTTGCAGTGTGCTTTGCTGTTATCCAGTTCTGGAAATGCGAGCGCTCACCTGTCCCACACCCCGCAACACGCATGGCTGCTGAAGGGCAGAGAAGTAGAAAGGAGTGAGAACAAGACTGTAAGGAAATTACAATCTCCTTCAATCCGGTAGAACCAGATGGTGAGCAACATTAACAGTGCAGGTGAGAGAGCCAAGATTTTTGCCTGATACACCTCTAACATCTACAAAATTTCCTATGTTCTCATCCGAAGTGAACTCATGAGAACCGGAATTACAAAGCTGTGCCGTGCGCAGCTGTTCTCTGAGTGAGCCACAAGAGGGCAACCTCTTGCTGTTGAAATATTTACAAGGCAGGCCATCTCCCAGTCTGGTCCATGCTTATTTAATGAGGCACCTGAGAAGGTTACATCAGTTCTGACCTGGAGTAAAGGAAGACAACTAGGCTTCGAGTTTTTCATTTACTTGTCTTGAACCTGAATTCAACCTTGATGGTGAAGAAAAACAAAACAGAGTATCTTGTGATTAGGGCCACGTTCTCTATGAATGGCAGAACAAGAAGTATAATAAGCTTAAACTGTCATAGGAAAGGGTTAGGCTGGGCGTAAGGAAGAGTTTTCTCACATCAAAAGAAATACTGTTAAATACTAATTTGAGTTTCTACGGTAGGTTTAGGTTTCTTTCTTTTAGAAGACCTCACAGATTCAATATATATATATATATTCTATATATATGTGTTTCTTTCTTTTAGAAGACCTCACAGATTCAATATATATATCTATATTCTATATATATGTGTTTCTTTCTTTTAGAAGACATCACAGATTCTATACATATATCTATGTTCCATAGACATATATGTTTCTTTCTTTTAGAAGACCTCACAGATTATATATATATATGTATATATATATATATATATATATATATATATACCCAGAAGAATGAACACATGTGTTTGAGAAGAGTACACCTGAATCGATCTTTTGAAGCCATAAGGGCAGGCTCCCCTCTTGCATTCTGCACACGTTGTCAGGGGTCCGGTTCCCAGACAAGGACGGACGTCACGTGTGGGGAAAGAGGACGGCCCTCAATGCATGTGGTTGGCGCAGTGGCTGTAACAGTGGGCTCAAACTTAACATGTATGAAGAGAGCCCAGGCAATGCCTCATTCTCTTGAGCAGCCTTTGATCCCACTCCCCAGCACCTAACAACAAAACCTGTCAAAAGGAAGCAAACTGGCTTCTCTTCTTTCCCTCTTCATTCTCAAAGATTTGATCATTTGGCCTCTCTATTCAGAGAGAAAATTCCAACGCTACATTTTCAGTAGCTCACATCAAAGCAATTGTTCTTTGGATTAATCGCAAAGTAGAGGATTGGGCTGTATTAGAATAATTTCCATACTTATTATTTGGTTTCTTGCCTTCTATTTTTTAAAATTTCAATTGTGTAGGGATTTGTGTGTATTGACTTGATAATCAGATACACTAGACACACCAATATGTTTACAAATGTATTAAAAATGCCAATGGTTGTGCCCTGCTCCCTCCTTACCATATGCCTCCATTCAATTACAGTCATTTGCTATCCGTCTATATCCTTGACTCCGGTATCTGGATTTGATGTGATGTGAAATTGTCACATGTTCTGGAGCATGGCATTGCGCTGTGTCCCAGCAGTGGACGGAGAGTGTGAAGAAGCTCCTGCTGGAACCTAACATCTTGTTAAGGTGCCAGTTCAGCTTCAGGCGGTCTGAAGGAGTTGATCTCTTGGCAGCCAGTCTCAGAATCACACATTTGAGGCAACTGGTTCCATATTATCTGCATACAGTTTAGTTCTTAGTGTGAGGAGCCTCTGCTATGTTTTCTTCATTCTAAATACCTGATTGGAGTTCTCATTCTCTACAATCATTCCTGTGATTTGATTTAAAACTTAGCCAGTTGCTGTGAGAACAAGTCCAACTCCCAGGGACCCAACCCCACGTGGGTCATCCCGGGACTGTGCTCTATAGGCCTTACAATGTGTTTTTCTTCCCGGAAGTGGATCAAGAGGACTTTCTTCCAAGGTGCCTCACAGTGAACTTGAACCTCCAACCTTTCACTCTGTAGTCAATGGTGTGAATGGTTTGCATGATTCCAGTACTTCATTTAAAACTAACCAAAACCCAATACCACAGAGTTAGTCCTGACTAATAGGAGTTCTGAGGCTGTAAATCTTCCTGGGAGCAGAGCGCATCGTCTGTCTTGTGCAGAGTGGCAAGTGGGATTGAACTTTGACCGTCTGGTGAGCAGTTGAACACTTGCCTAACACCACCGCCAGGGCTCATCCTCATTCACAACTAAATATCTACATAAACTTTCCCACACCTATCAAGGGTACTCTAAATTATGGGCAGCTTGGCTCTGATGAGCAAGATATCTGCTTATAATTTCAGTATTTCTCTCCTGCCAGCCATACGTAAGATAAGTCCTCACCCCCACCCCCGCCAACTTCTCCCAAACAAATGCCTTAGAGATTTTGAACTAATATTGGGTGGAAGCCAAAAAGATTAAGTAGCTAAGTTGGATATTTCAAAAGATTTCTTTGAAGGTTAACAATAAAGTTAAAAAAAGGGACCAAATTAGCAGTAGATAATTTTAAGTCTAATAATTGCTGCTCTTCAGGGGAATGAGGAGCCCTGGTGGGTCGTGGTCATTGGGCTGCTAATAACAGCTGCTTAAGCCCCCAGTGGCTCCACCAGAGAAACGGGAGGCTTTCTGCTCCCATGAAGATTTCCGGCCTCAGTAACCTCATGCAAGGGTTCTACTCTGCTGTCTGGGGTTTCTGAGTTGGAAGTGACTCGGTGGCAGTAGGAAGGTAGGTCAGAGGGGAAATGAGTATTTTATATGGTAACATAATTATCATACCTTAGATTATAAAAATCTAAAGACAGTGAATACCTATGCTTGTCAGACTCTGTATAATTTGTACTTTGTTGCCCCTTAGCAGCCTAAGTCAACTCCTTTAAAGATAATAATTAAATAGATATTTTGGAGGAGGCAAGAGTGTTAATTTTAATCATGATAGTTAAATTATGTAGCTATGTTTCTTTGAAGAAATTCAAAACTTGTCCCTCTTCTTTAATTGTTGACTATAACTTTCTTTCATACATGCTATGCTGTTGGTAATGCTTGAAACTGCAAGCTGAACTTTACTGGTGACAGTTGGCAAATATTAGCAGAAAACAGAATTTTTAAGAATCTTAATTAAAATAGATGGACTGGCAGTTTAGATGTGTTAGTACTTTCTTTGATGTGGAGGAACATTCTATGAAGTTACATTTTTTTCATGCAAATTAAAAAACAAAGGCAATGGTATCAGAGAGCATCGCTGATATGAGAGGCCTGCTGTCAGTTGCCATGGAGTTGATGCTGACTCCTGGGGACCAGGAGCAGAGTAGAGCTGCTTCAGAAGCTGAGCCAAAGCAGAGCACCAGACTGCTTGCTACAGTCTCTCAAGGTGGGCTGGAGGTGCCAATCGTGGTTAACCGTGGAGTTCTTAACGATGTGGGTCACTCAGGAGCTTCTCATAAGAGGCTGAGAAGAAGTCTCCCTTCTATTTTCTTGAAAATATTTGCTCAGATAAAATGCTCAATGTAAAATTGTAAAACAACTTGCAAACAAATTTCAATACCATTTAGTTATTTTGCTAAATGAAACTGGGGAAACACTTTCTTTAAACAGATATAAAAAGGGATACATATGATATGAATGTATAGTTTTCTATATATACAGTACATACATACATATGGGTGTGTGTACATCACTCTCTCACTCATTGGCAGTGGGTCCATTCTGACTCACAGAGACCCTACAGGACTAGAAAACCTGGTGTTTTTTCACATGAACTATTGGTGAACTCCACCAACTGGAAGTCTAACTACAGTGTTCCCTGGACTTCTCTCTGTGTGAATCTGTGCGTCTCCGTTGTTGCTGAGTCTATTCCAATTCAAAAAGATCCTCTCGAGAGCTTCCAAGACTGCTTATATTTAGGTGAGCAGTCTCACCTTCTCTGAGTGGCTTGTCAGTTTGAACCATTAATCTTGTGGTTTTCAGCCCAATGACACACACACACAAACAGACACACACATTGCACCAATATATATATATATATAACATATACGGCAACTAAAACAAAAATGTATTTTATGTCTACATATATATCCATGTATAGAGACATAAAATTAATGTACATATAAAGTTTATACACATAAAAAAGTTTGTACACACAAACATATAATGCCTTTCTTCACTTTTGACTGCCAGGATGATCAGTACCAAGCTTAATGCTACTCACTACCATCGAGTCAAAGCTTACTCAAAGCGACCACCTGTGGTTTTTTCTGAGCCTGTGACTGTTTGCAGGAATAGAAAGCCCAAACTTTCTCCTGCAGAGTTGCCGGTGGTTTTGAACTGTGATCACGAGGATTACAGCCCAGTGCATGACCACTACAGCACCAGGGCTTAATGTTAACTTGTAGTAATTAATCTTAGGTCCATGGTATATTTTTTTCATTCCTAGTTATAAATTTTAATACTTTAATTCTTTATAAAATATTGTCTTAATCTCTTTCCACATAGTCATCTGTCTTATGCCTTTGGTTTGAAGCCACTTCAGATTCTTATTTTAATTAGCCCTTGCAGGGGCAGTGAATTATTTACTGTGGCTCTTGTACTGTAACTCTCATCGAATGAGATTTTCCTGCATGGGCCTGGGTAAGAAACTGGGAGAAGACATGATAGGATTCACCTGTACTTGTTAACATGATTCATTGAATTGCCCTTGTGCTGGGTATAAAATTAGTCCTCTGAGAAGAAGAAGAGGGATCTGATGACTAACAAGAGCCAGGAGTGGAACATCTCTTCTGGAACCTAAACCCCTGCACAGTGAAACTTCTGGATCCAGAAGCGGCTGTGACATCAGAGGAGCAGTTGCAGAACCAGATGTCAGAGCAAGAAACAGAGTGGTGGACTTCTCAACCCACAGCAGGTAAAGCTGAGTGCTTTTGAGTAGGAGGTTTGCTTGTGGAGTACGGTGCCTCTGGGCACTTAATTGGGGGAGCTGTGCTTGAGGAGGTGAAGCTGAGTGCCTTCAGACTGAGGCTTCCTAGATTGGGGTGACTCTGGGCACTTAATTCAAGGAGCTGGGTTTGTTGACCCACGGAGCTTGGGAATGTCTTCGGGCCGAGGCCCACACTTGAGTGGCATGTCCTTGGGCATTCACGGACAGCTTCCCAATATGAAGGAACTCTGTAACATGTCCTGTTGAACAATGGAATCCTGCATATTTCTCATTTGCATTGTAGCCTGTTAACTTCCCTAATAAATCTTAAATTGTTAGCATTTCCTGTGAGTTTGGTGTAGCCATTGGGAGGAATTATGGACCTTAGTAAATATAAAAATAGAGCATTGTTTGAGATAGAGAACAGGCACAAAACAATTCAGTTTTCATCTCATTTTATAAGACTCTGATAGAAACTCTGGTTGCAGAGGTACAACTTCATATCACCCCACTGGAAATATCTATCGTCCTGTGCCTCTTCTCATTGACACGGCAACTCCCCTCACTGGACTCTTGCAGGATTCTGCCTTGACTGAACTTCTAGACTTATGCCTTATAACTGGCTCACCTTCCACAATGGAAAGTATCCCTTATGATAACACTTGTTCTATATTTTACAAAAGTGTAGGAACTCTTTAACCATGAATAAAGAAATGTGAAACTACATAGAGGAGACATTCATCATCTTGGTAAAAGAAGCTGATGTGGTCAGAGGATTCACTTACCATATTCTGTTGGCAAAGCCAATAAAATTGCTGGAATTTCTGGGACATAAGAAGTTGGGCACTTCCAACAGCACTCCTGATTTTACCGAGAACTGTTAAAAAAAAAAAAAGGTCTAAATAGGTCAATTAGAAAACAGAAGCAAAACATCACACATAGGTAATACATTATCATTGGCACAGCCATTATTCTTCTTTATTGATAATTAAAAACGACTTTATTGTGAGAAACATTCCACAACTATTTCTTTAGTCTGTACATTACAAATCATTGGAGACATTCATCGAGGACTGATGTCCATTACAAAGATCTTATTCTTTAGTACTGGTAAAAATTTAGCTTAGAAATATGAGCTATACTAAAGGAAAGTTTCCTTATTTGGGGCATCACGACATTTTTAGTGTCGCTACTAAGATGAGCTTGATGTTACAACAGCATTTGTGAATAAAAGAGTCAGTACTTTCTATTTTTTGTTAATTAGAGAAAATGTTACTGCATTCATTTTTAGTAAAACACCTGATATATGGTATCTCATTGTATTCAATGAAAATACTCAGCAAGATGTGGACAATTAGATAAGAGCAACTGCCATGATAGACGTTTACATAAGACATGATTGAGTAATGGAGAAAGAGGGCTCACAGTAGGATGACAGCAGAACTAAGAAGAGCGGCCAGCTTGCTGCTCTTCAAGTCTTTGGCAGCACTGAGCCCTTGCGCTACCACGTACCCCATGAAACCCTGCCCCTTTGGGAGTCAACACAAGAGCCACGAGTTACAAAAGTACACTGGTGTCATGTTAGACTCTCTAATTGATTTATTGGATCAATTAGTAATGACTATATTGCATTTTAAAATATGCTGAGAGAAAGCATATCACTGGCTCAACGAGGTAGGGAGAGTCAGGTTATATATTATTCCTGAATTGTATGGTTTAATAATTTGGTCAATCAAGAAGTAACTTTAGATTCTGATTTGTTTTTTCCCTGCAAGCTTCCAGATGCTGCTGGTCCATGGACCTCATTTGAGAATCAAGGCCTTCAGAAGTATTCACAAAACCGGAAATGGAGTTCCAGAAATATGAAATAAATTCCTTTAGCTTTCGTTCACAATAGTCATTTCCCCAAACATTCATAATTTTAACAGCTAGTCATAACCCAGTTATTTCTGAGTCTGATTCAGCCTATGTCAGACATAAGCATCAAAACTCAATATGGTGATGGTCCCAACTCTGCCTGCTGAATTCTCCCTTCTCCCCAGGATTTCTTAAGGGAAAGAACCATAAATCTTTGCCAGAAAGGACCTTAATATTCTTCTGAAGAAAAACTACGGGGCTACTGAAAATGATGTTACAGAAAATATATCTATTAATATTAAAAGGTATTTGGATATGTTGTGACATAAAAAGTCAATTATAAAACAGGAATAATTTAAAAAACATATGCATGTGTCACTGTATATTGCACACAATTTCAAGCCAAAGCTAGAAAGACCTGCAGTACTCTCAGGGTTGAAAACCGCACAAACTAATAGTTAACTTGCGACAAGTCAGCATATTCTCCTGTGCAGGATAATGGGCATTGAAAGTTCTACTTTTCATATGCCAATTAAAAAATTCTGTATTCCCTAATTTTTCATTATGAAAAATTGCAAACAAAATTGTAAAAACATCTCTGCTGCCATCACCGCTCCTGTCGTTAAGCGCTGTCGCGTCGACTCTGACTCGTAGTAACTTCTGTGCAACAGAACCAGTCCCTCACAGTTCTTCAATGTTTGAGCCCCGTTCAAGGCCACTGTGCCAATCCATCTCATCAAGGGTCCTCCTCTTTTATGCTGACCGTCCACTTTCCCAAACATGAAGCATGAAATCCTTTTCTAGGGACTGGTCTCTTCTGACAACACAAGCAATGTATGTGAGATGAGGTCTTGCTATCCTGGCTTCTAAGAAGCGTCCCATTGGAAATACTTCAAAGACAGATATTTTTGTTTCTTTGGCAGTCCGCAGGACTTTCCACATTCTTCTTCAGCACCATAATATAAATGCCGTAACTCCTCTTCAGACTTCTTTATTCAATGTCCAAGTTTTGCATGCATATGAGGCAGTTGAAAATACTATGGCTTGGGGCAGGCACACCTAAGTACTCCAACTTGAAAGAGATTTTGTGCAGATTTACCCAATGTCATTTGATCTCTTGACTGCTGCTTTCATGAACATTGACTGAACCCACACAAGACCAATCCTTGACGGCTTCAACATTTTCTCCGTTTATCATGATGTTGCCTACCGGTCCAATAGTGTACGGATTTTTGTTGTCTTTACATTGAGTTTCAATCCATACTGAAGGCTGCAGCCCTTGATCTTCATCAGCAAGTGCTTCGAATTCTCCTCACTGTCAGCAAGCAAGGTCATGTCATCTGCATATGACAGGTTGTTAGTAAGCCTTCCTCCAACGGGATCATCGAGATTCAGCAATTCCTAAGAATAAGAACTAATTCCCTAACATGATCTAATTCTAGATCACATATATGATATTGAATAGTAAAAGAGAAAAAAGTAAGAAAATGGATAAACTGGCTAAAATCCTTGGCAATCTTTAAGTCGTAGAAAGAAGGATGGGTCATCACACTTTGATTCCTGGCCATTGTGTCTAACCATCCATTTCAAGAAGTGCCTGCTGCTTTCCTCCAGGTGGCACTCAGCCAGCTCCCTGGCTTTGGTCTGCATCTGCAGCTGCCCAGGGGGCAGGAGGAGAGGGCTGCAGAGCCAGGAGACAGGAAGGGAACAGAACACAGGGTGGGGTGCTAAAGATAGGGTTCAAGTAGAAACTTTTAAGTGGGTACGGAAAGTAAAAATGATGGGGGGCAGGCAGGGTGGGCACCGGGAGGAAGGCAACATGTAGAAAGTGGAATTTGAGCAGTATCTTTAAAGGGGCCACAGAACTCCATACTTTTTCCTAATCCAAAAGCGAACACATTTTTGAAATCATGGGCTCACTGTTGCTGAAGGCAGGAAGTCTCTCTAGTTTTGAAATGTTTCTTTTTTACTTGTACAGCCCTATAACCTGCGTGATTGATGAAAGCATTTAAAGAGGCTCGTTGTAATCAAGCTGTCACTGCAAAATATATAGGAGATGAATAAATACCCTTCTCTTACCTGACTCTATCCTTCCTCAAATTGTAATTAAAAAGTCAATCAGTTTTATAAAACTTGAAGTTTTAATCCCTGATCTTCATATTCCTTCTGAAATGTAATTCAACTGAAGTATTAATATAAAATGCTTTCATTTGTAATCTTTAGCACAGCACTAATGGATGGGCAATATCTTGGTATTGATTTAATATAGTGGAGAATTGTTATAAAGAGTATAAATTGAATATTGTTATGAAAAGATAATGAATGTCAAAGGGTGTAGCTAATGATGTGATTGCTAATGGCAGGCAAATTTTGCTGTTCAGTCAATGGGAATGATCCTAACTGATACCTGTAATGTAAATAGCTTCCTATAATTGCAAAGAATTTGAAGTGAAAATTCAATTTATTCTTTTCTTCTATACTTCCTTAATTTTGTCACAGTTTGACACATTTCTTTCAAGAGCTGCAGATAAGGACTAATCCTCATCAGAATGCAAATTTACAAAGAACTTGATATAACCCTGGCTTTCAATGCACAAAGAAATTTGATTAACTTAGCTGGCTCCTTTAATTTATTTTTCATGAGTTTTCGATAATTTCCAATTCTATCTAAATTAGCCATGAATTACCAGGACAACATTTACGCTATTCTTTTGTTCAGAAAAGGAAAGTGGGTTTGTGTAGAATTTACAGGTAGTTTGAAAGGGTCATTTGACTAGTTATTGTCTCTCTGATCGCGTGGGATCCCTCTCTGACTAGTTTAGTGAAGTAGGCAGGGGAAATCATTGCTTTCACAAGCCTCCTCTTTTTCAAGATTTCAAGTCTAATCTTATTCATATTTACCAAGCATACGTTCATCATTAAACTCCAATTTCCTATTGCCATTTAGATTTTGGGAAGTGTTAAGACCTCTCTATAAAAGCATTAGACATGTAACAACAAGAAAGCGGTTCACTGGCTGTGTTCCATCAGCCTGATCCAGAGCACCTGGACGTAATCCTTGGTTTGTGTCTTTAAAAGAAGTCTGTGCATTGGATGCTTCATTAAGCTGCACAAACACATCCACGCCGATGGCTGGTAGCAGGCAAGGTGAACAAAGCAAACTTGTTTTGCAAAGAATGATCATCATTCTTTCTGAAGCTTAAATTAGTATTCTACTATATTGACCCAACACATCTTTGGCAAATTTTAGAGGAAGATATTTGATTTTGATCCCTGCCCTTCATTCATTCACTCAGTCACTCCCTCCCTACCATCTAGTCGATGCTGATTCATCGGGAACCTGTAGGACAGGGTAGATGAGTTTCTGAGACTTTAACTCTTTATGGGAGTAGAAAGTCCCATCTCGCTTTCTTGGAGTGGATGGTGGTTTCAAACTGCTGATCTTCTGGTTAGTAGGCCAACGTGTAGCCATTGTGCCACCAGGTTTCCTTAATTTTTTCCTATATTGGCGCATATTTTATCATTCTGAGTGCAAGGGGTTAATGGTTTCGGCTGTTAACCACAAGATAGGTTGTTTGAATCCACCTAGGGGAACCTTGTAAGAAAGCTTCATGATGAACTTTGGAAAAAAACACAACAGCCATGGAAAACCCAGTGTTTACACATTACGTGTACAGACAAACACCTGGGATCACCATCCATTGGAGTTGACTCAGCAACAACTGGTTTCCTGATTTTTAGCTATTTGTCATCTGCTTCTCCTTGTGTGATGCCCATAGCAGCTAAAGACATGCCTCTCATCATTTTTTCACGCCTTACACTATCCATTGTCTCCCTTCACCCACTTTTCTGTTGTCCATCCCCCAGGGAGGGGGTTATATGTAGATCATCGTGATCGGTTCCCCCTTTCCACCCCACTTTCCCCTTTCCTTCCTGGTATTGCTACTTTCATTATTGGTCTTAAAAAGTTTATCTGTACTGGATTCCCTGGGTTTCCAGCTCTGATCTGTATCAGAGTAC